ATGGCTACAGCCTGCACCAAAAAAATCATACATCCACTGTTTCGTTCAGAATATTTTTTCTTGTTTTCCTCCTCTAAAAACTAGGTGCGTCTTATGGTCAGGTGCGTCTTATGGAGCGAAAAATACGGTATTCTATCCGTGGTGTTCCCTCCTGTCCTTGTAAAATGTTATGTCTATCTATTCGCATTTTTGTGAGGAGAAAGCATTCAACTGTAGGAACCCTGCGCCTATATCCCGAAGGACATTTACTTGTTTACCCCCTCAGTGAGAAGTGACCTGAGTTTGCCATCTTTTTCTCTCTCATCCAGGGAAGATGCAGCCAGTATAACCCACCTTGTCTGTCACGTACAGGAGTGTGCAAGGCCCGTGCCAGGTGAGTACAGTGGATTAGATTTGAGGTGAATTTGCTTTCCACAATCTTCCTTTGAAGGTTCTGTTTAGCCAGAGTCAGGCTTTGAATGCAATGTCTGTGCAGCCTGAGCAAGTCTCAAAGTTTGCCTGGTTTTGCTCAGTCCCTTTCAGCCCCTTCAGCCAAGTTTTTACCTGCCCCATACCTGACATGGTATATGGCACCAGGTATAGGGTAGGCGGGTGTGGCTTGGCCAAAAAGTCCCCATGGCCAAATGCCAGAGTCGTCTAGGTGGTCTAGGGGAGGTTCCTCACTTGGACTGTACTGTAAGCCAGTTGAGTAGACTGTCAGGCATGGAGAGCCGCCCTCTGCCTTCGGTAACTTCACAAACAAGAAATAACAAGCAGTTTATAATTTATAGTTTTCTTATTCAAGCATCAGGTTGCGAGCAAAAATCCACATCCTTCCACAAGGAGAGCAGTTAGCCACTTTAAATCCTCCCACTTCTGTCTCCCGCAACATCCTGGGCGCCAACGGAAAGTCCCTCCTCCTCTTTGCGTCCTTTGTTCTCAAATATGGACAGACCTCCTAGTTCAGGGGTAGGCAACCTAAGGCCTGGGGGCTGGATGCAGCCCAATCGCCTTCTCGATCCGGCCCGCAGGCGGTCCAGGAATCAGCATGTTTTTACATGAGTAGAATGTGTGATTTTATTTAAAATGCATCTCTGGGTTATTTGTGGGGCATAGGAATTCATTCATCCCCCCCCCAAAAAAATAGTCCAGCCCCCCACATGGTCTGAGGGACAGTGGACCGGCCCACGGCTGAAAAAGGTTGCTGACCCCTGTTTTAGTTTGTGGGGAAGGAGGTTCCCCCACACTAATGACGTCTCAGCTAGCTGCTCCCTCCCTTCTCTTTCCCTTGCTACTACCTCGTAGTTACGTAACTCCTGTCTAAGCTGCTCTGCGTCTGTGTCTCTCGCTGCTTCTCAAACCACTGAAGACAAGGGTGTGTGTGAATCTTCCCCCTCCGGCTCCTCTTCGGAGCTAAGCTGATCTGCCTGAGAATGCATTCCCCAGTCCTCTGCTTCAGGCCATTCCCTGACATAGACAGACCACCATTCCGAGTCAGAATAATTTTGTGATCTCCTTACTCCTTCAAACCTTCAGAATCATAGTAGAAGATGGAACAAACGAATTTGTGGTGGTGTGCAAGAACCAACAGGTGCAGAAAGTGCTGGCTTTGAGCGCCAAGGAGTGGGATGTTCTACAGAACCATGTTAAGAACACGGGCAGTATTGGCATTCAGCACAGTGAAGTTAATACGGCTCCTGAGGTAAGTGGTTTATTCTCCCTGTTAGTTGAACTGCTAACCCCGTATCTGAATTACAAACTCTCCCTAGTGATCTTCTCTGTGTATTTCACTTGCTTAGTCCACTGCCAATAATCTTCTGTTTTTGATAGCAAACTGAGGAGCGTGAAGACCTGTTCACCTGGTACTTGAGAAGCTTATGCAGAAGCCCAGTTGTCTGTCGGCCTGTCCTGTTGACTTTCAGACCAGATAGAAAGCCCTCGGGAGATCACGAGGCAGGTAGGTAGATATGTGTCCTCAATCTTATCGGAGCTGAGATGTCATGGACTGGTTGGATGAGTGGCGTTGTGGTCTAAACCACTGAGCCTCTTGGGCTTGCCAATCAGAAGGTCGGCAGTTTGAATCCCCGCGACAGGGTGAGCTCCCGTTGCTCGGTCCCAGCTCCTGCCAACCTAGCAGTTTGAAAGCACGCCAGTGCAAGTAGATAAATAGGTACCGCTCCGGCGGGAAGGTAAACAGTGTTTCTGTGCGCTCTGGTTTCCGTCAGTGTGTTCCATTGCACCAGAAGTGGTTTAGTCCTGCTGGCCACATGACTTGGAAAGCTGTCTGTGGACAACGGCATCTCCCTCGGCCTGAAAGTGAGATGAGCACCACAACCCCAGTTGCCTTTGACTGGACTTAATTGTCCAGGTGTCCTTTACCTTTACTTTTTTCACATAACATAGTTTTTATTGAACTGGTTGAAAAATATTTACGTATTGGGAATCAGAGGAAAAGGGCAAGTTGGCTGTTGGCTTGCACATTTTAAAATAAACCAAAAAAAAAAAAAAGCAGGTTTGATGAATATACCTGTGGGGGTTTTTTTGTGGGTTTATGATGGGTTGGAAGGGCTTGTCATCCATGGTCCTATAGACCTCTGGTGATTTATACTTTCAGGACCAAGAATCTGGATATTGTGGCATGTTGTAAAGGCTTCTTAAATTTAGAAAGCTTCTTAAATTTAGAAAGAAAGAAAATTGTAGGTGTCTAGGTATCTTTTTCCAGCTTATAGTCCGAGCTTAGTGTTGTCCTAACCAACTTTCCCTAAGGAAATATCTGAATTTTTAGGTAGCTCAAATAATGTTTTAAAAGTAAATCAAATGAAAAAAATAATACAATGGAATTGTACAATGGCTACATGGTTGTTTGGTTTCAATACCCCAAATATTGTGTGGAATGTTGAGACTTCATTGTTTAAAGTGAAACTGTGTTTTTGTTTTCCCCCAAGGCTTAGGACAGTTGAGGAGGTTTTTCTCCAATGGCTTGGAGTTCCTAAGTCAGACGAGGCAGCGGTGGAACTTGATGTGTCTGGATCTCCAGGAGGTGACATGAACATGAGGCTTGTAACAAAAGGCTGTACATCTCGGGTCTTATCCTGCTGCGGAAGAGCAATTACGAAATTTCTGCTTCTTCCATGCAACCCATCATTTGGAGACACGTCATTTACGTTTCTCATATAAAATGCAGTAAATGTAATAAACTCGAACAAATCTATTTTGTGGCTTTTTAAAGATATTCCTAATTGCAGTCGCAAAAATAATACTAACACTCATTTTAAACATCTAGCTTGTTTTTCTGTCGTGCAGATATGACTATTAATTTTCACCACCTTTCGTGTATTCTAGCCAATTTTTTGCAAATTCTGGCACTGACCATTCTAGCTACTATGAATGCATAACATGCTAGTTTTTATTTTGGCCGAGTAGTAGTTTGATATACATTCCGAGACTTTGATGAGTTTGGGGACGAGGGGAATTCCATAGCTGAGAGCCGCTCAAAACACTTCCTTCACATTCTTGAGGTCTTGATTCATCAGAATTAAGAGGATTTCTGTGCAATCTTAAGGGTCATGTCAAAAACATGGGGACTGAGGTGCTCTCAGATTGGCTAAACAGGCTTTTTTAAAAGCCTCTTGATCTCCACTAATCGCTAAGTGGAAGCTGAGTCCTCTAGCTGAAAAAAATCAGTGAACATTTTTGCTACATAAGGAAGGACAGGTCAAGTATATTCTAAATCCATTTTTTTATTCTCAGTTACTTCAACAATGTACACAGTTTCTAGCAACAGATAATGTACTTACTATACAGGCTTCCCCTCCCCTCCCCACCTTGTCCCATTCCTCCACTTTTTGGTGAACCAAGAATTTGCAGCAGCACAGTAAGTTATTTTTCTAACACTGAAAAACAGACACAAAACAAGGAGACAAAATATATATGAAACTGAACTGACCAGTTTTAGGCAGGTACAGCACAATAAATAGACATCTTTATTTCAGATATAGTTCGTAAAATTTTACAGCATCCTCTTAAAGTAGTTATCGGTTTCATAGGCATGAAATGCTACAGCACAGTACAGTCAATTAGGTTTTCAGCAAAAGTGGGTTTTGCACAAATCATTCATACGCCACGCTTGAGGAACCTGACACTCAATGCAGAACCATCAATAATGTCAAGATGCAGTTAGGTTTTAACTTAAAGACAAGATACACCTGGGGGTTAGGAACCTAGAAACTTCCTGGCAACGTTATTTTATTTTTGGGTGGAGAGAGAGATGGAGCATTTAACATGTACAAGTGTCCCCTGCAATTATAACCATTCTGCAACTCTCTTAAGTGGGTTTTCTGCTGTTTAGAATAGGAAACTGACCCAGAAGGGGCATTAGGTGTTTTTTGCTAGGAACCCGTGTTTTTGCAGCAGTGACATGATGGCACTAGATGTTTATTCAGTGAAAACTAAGGTTCTTCTTCATTACTGAAACTGTAATCAGAACATGAGCACCAGGAAAAGTAACTAACTTCTCCAAGGTGAGAAAATACTACCCTGCACACTAGAAGGTAACTGAGCAGTACTGCTCACGTGTCCTGCAAGACAAGACTAGCAGAGCAAACGTCCCAAAATCATCAGCTCTGTAAAATGACAAATTCTCTATATTCTCTTACTCCACCACAGGGATGGGGAAACCTATAGGCTCCAGCTGCTGTCTGCCTACAACTCCTATCATTCCTAACCACCAGCCATGCTACCGGAGACTGATGGGAGATGGTGTCCAGTAAAATTCAGACAGCCAAAGCCTGGGAAAAATCAGAAAAATTGAGGGGGGACTAGGTCCACCCCCCATTCCCCCCAGGCTGTCGCCCCCCCCCCCGAAAAACGGCTTTCGGGCGAAAATGACCCCCCCCCCAAAAATTTTCCAGTTTCCCCCCAGACCTTCTCATCTCTACCCCATCCCTACCCTATAATGTTAAGAACTACTGTTCCGCTATTCCAGTGATTGAAATAAAAACAAAAATCCAAAGTAAGAAATGTGTGGCTTCCAATTTTGCTTTAATCGTTGCGGTAACTGCAAAGAATAACGCAGGCAAGGAGGCAGAGGAAAGGACTGCTGCCTTGTCCCACTGAAAAACAATGATTAAGTTTCTGCCTTGTCCACTGCATATAGGCAAAAATATATATTAAGCTGCAGCACACAGAGATGTGACTTAATTTCTGTGTTTGGGGGTGGAGATGATCTAGGAAGGGAATGGAACCCATTACTAGCTGGAAGCAACAATGGTTGTGAGTAATAAATGTAATTTGTATTTAAGGAAAATTGTGCTTCCTCAGATAAGATGAGCAGAAAGATTGCTGCTGGGCACTCCTCTTTGCCCCACAAGCCTGCAAATTTTCAACACACTGGATGAAACAGGAAAATAGTGAAATAATATTGTAGCTAAGTAATTTATAGATTTGATTGTTTTCAGGGTAGCAGCAGCAGCAACATTAAAGTACAATAAATAAATCCTATCTCTGATGCATCAGAATTGCCTCAACTGAATAGCAGTAATCCAGGAAAAAGGGTTCAAGTGCCCCAATGCCATCTATACATATACAGCAGCATATGTGGGTTTTTTCTCTCTCCCAGAAAAACTCTTGATCTCCCCTGGTTCTTTTCCAAAGAAAGGGAAACTGCCGGCTAAGAGGTCAAATCTGGTAAAGGAGACTTTCAACCTCAGAGGGACCTTTACAAAACCTGTTTTACGCTCTTAAGCTCAGATTTACACACACAAACACGCAGCTATCAAATTAAATGGGAATGTTTTCAAAGATAAAAGGAAATCTTCAGTGAAGTGCGTATCTTCTATCCATGGAAAAGCAAGAAGACGGAGATGAGGAACACACTCAGTTGGGGCTCCAGAAGAGTCGTGACTCTAGTCTTCCAAACTGCGGAACGCATTCTGCATGTCTTCAAAGAGCTGGGCGTAGTCTGCTTTGATCTTGGCCTCTCCATCTTTCACTGGGTCCTGAAATTGGACAGACCAAAACTCAGAAATTGCTGGAGCTTTGTGGTGCTTTGTCAGGAAGGAGGTTGCCTGGAGTGTTTCCTTCCTAGGCAATTTCTACCCCCAGTGCCCATATATGAGCTTACATTTATCAATACAGTGGTGCCTTGGAACCCAAACACTGCAAACCCGGAAGTAAGCATTCCAGTTTGAGAACTTTTTTCAGAAGCCGAACATGCTTTGCTTTGAGTGTTATGCTTCCGATTTGAGTGCCACACTTCCAATTTGAGTGCCACACTTCCGATTTTGGTGTTACGCTGAGGTCTGTCTGTTTTTGCTATTTTGCATTTTTGTGGCTCTTTTTTGTGACTTTGTGGAACACAGTTCAACTACTGATTGATTGATTGATTGATTGATTGTGTGTCTGATTGATTGTTGTTTACTGCTTTCATTTTATGGATCAATGGTCTTGTTAGATAGTAAAATTCATGTTAAATGGCTGTTTGAGAGGTTGTTGTTAATCGTCTGGAAGGGATTAACCTGTTTTGCTTTACTTTCTATGGGAAAGTGCACCTTGGTTTTGGAACACTTTGGTTTTGGAACGGACTTCCGCAACGGATTAAGTTTGAGAACCAAGGTACCACTGTACGTGGAAGGCATTCTACTCTCCTCTTCCCATTGGACTGAGGTAACAGTTTTAAACTACTGTCTGGATGGACTAGAAAAAAGCAACACTGTCAGCGTGGACAACAGCCATGTTCATCCCAGAAACAGCCAACTGCAGCCATGGCAAGAGTAGTTTAATCACTGATCTCAAACTGATAAATGAAATATGGCTTGTTGTCAGAGGAGAAGAGAATGGGGATCACTGTGATCACTAATGTAGCCCTTTCCTTAAGTTTTGTTATTTTTAAAAGGGGTAAGGCTCACCTGGAGACAATTTTAATCTTACTTTATAGCTCACGTCAAACGACCACATAATAACACCATGGCCATTATGCTCATTTGCCTTCAGTAGCAGTAAAGCTCTGCTGGATTAAATGTTAATTACCTCTGGTCTATTTTGGTGGAATCCCGCAATGTGTTTTAAGTTTTACTCTGCTAACTATACAACTGGAATCTGCTCTGGCTCATTACTGAGTAGAATTCGATGACACAATAACCTGCTGGCAGTGGGAGTGAAGAATATGAAAATTGCCTACTGCATCTTTTTGTTTTCTCTTAAATATAAAAACATAACACTGCCAAGTTGGGCCTCAAATGCTTGCCATTGTTACAACCAAGTTAAATAGGGGACATTCTGACAATGTCCTCAAGCTACCCAAAAATGGAGACCGCCTAACACAGCCAGGAGAAGGAATCTCGGTTTGTTTTGCTGTAACTCTCCCTCACGCAGAGGACTTACCTTGAATTTCATTGATGTGAGTCGGTAAAGAATCTCATTCATGTTCTCTCTGATGATGGCCCAAGTGATCTTATTGTCACTCTGGGCAGTAGTCTCAACTGCTCGACGGGCCATATCATAAAAGGCGATCATGTTGGACAGTATTCCCACTGTCTTATAAAATGGGCAGAACCTAACAGAAAAAAGCAGAGAAGGCTTGCAGATCCTGTCTAAAGGGCACATTTGTGAATGAATAGGGTGGGCCTGTGACCTGGACTCAGGAACTAAAGTATTAACCATCATAAAAAAATGGCCAGACTGCCCACTTACTGCAATCAGCGACCATTATCAGGTATCCTGGCAGACAGGATTTCTGCTGTAGACCGCCTCCTTCTGTGATGTATGTATGATGTTTTGGGGGGCGGTCTTGGGCTACAGAGTGGGCAATTTCCAAAGTCTATATAAGGGCTTGCGCACTATTGTTCAGGGTTCTCCTCCCTCCTGCATGTGGTGAGTAGGGACCCTGTTGCAACAGTTCCTTTAATAAAGATCAGGCTTACTAGCCGCTTTGCTTCTCAGTATACTCTGGTTGGCCTCTGTTTTCTCCTACTGATAGGGAACCCACTTAAGGACTCTATATGGGCTAGGGAATATCCCATAAGGGAAAGGGAGCAGTTTTTCTTATAACACTACCATAAGCTCAACAGATTTCTACAGGTTAAGGAGTTCCAGGGCAGCTAATCAAATCTGAAAGCTGTTCTTGTTCCTGCTTTCTGGAGATGACATTTTATTCTCGGCAGCAGATGAGTCATGGAACAGCAAACTGCGGCAGGAAGAGACCAAAATTCTAATGCCCTTCTTCCCCCATGAAAGTTGACTGGGAAAAGTCTAGCGTAACACTGTCTACTTCTTCAGTGCCCATTTCAGCTCCTGAAACATCAAAAACTCTTGTGAAAATAGCTGCAAACCTGTCATATGGAGTGTAGCCATTCTGTTGCAGGAAGTCATCTTTAATGAGCTTGGCAACTTCCAATGTAATTTTGTCTGTTTCTGCCAAGGAAGCCTAGAAGTGAAAGAGACTCGTTAGCTTCCTGGCTCCCTGCTCCTCCTGATGTTACAGGTTCATTTATTTATTTTTTATTTTAAAAATTATCTAGTCCACATTTCTAGTCCACCTGTTACTGAATCATCTGTCCACCATATTTCCCAACTACAACTTCTGTTCTGGCTTCTGATAAACTCCACATCTCTGGACGCTTCTCATTTACTCACTGCCAGTCCTTAACTGCTCACTCTAAGCCTTGTTTTGCCAATAAGGGAGAAAAATCCCCTTTGAGAGGGAGCTTATCACTTATAATTTGCGTACCAGAACCTACCACTGTTTTAGGTAAAGAGACCCCTGACCATTAGGTCCAGTCGTGGCCGACTCTGGGGTTGCGGCGCTCATCTCGCTTTATTGCCCGAGGGAGCTGGCGTACAGTTTCCGGGTCAATGTGGCCAGCATGACTAAGCCGCTTCTGGCGAACCAGAGCAGCGCACGGAAACGCCGTTTACCTTCCCGCCTATTTATCTACTTGCGCTTTGACATGCTTTCGAACTGCTAGGTTGGCAGGAGCAGGGACCGAGCAACAAGAGCTCACCCCGTCACGGGGATTCACTGTTTTAGATGCTAACTAAAATGTTTTAGTACTGCCGCTATCCTCGCCCAAGTCCTTCACCCACCCCACTGATGCCAAGAGGCAGGCATCGTCGCTGGACTGTATTGCATTATCCCACAGACATGCCTATAGCAGTTGAGAATATGGAGGAAAAATGTCTCCCCAAAACATTGCTCCCCCTGCCGCTCCTCTACTCACCTTCCCCACCAGCTGAACAATCTCTGCAAGATCCTCCTCTTCCTGCAAGATCTCCTTTGCTTTAGTCCTCAAGGGGACAAATTCTGGGAAGTGCTTGTCATAGTACTCGTCTAGAGCGCGCGTGTACTTGCTGTAGCTGATCAGCCAGTTCACAGATGGGAAGTGCTTCCGCTGAGCAAGCTTCTTATCCAAGCCCCAGAACACCTGCCAAGCAACCAGGCTTTTTTATTCATTTAGTCAACTTACAGACGGCTTGCTACACAATGCAGGTCTCTCTCCAAGCAGTTTGCAATAAGAAAGTCAGAGACTCTAAAATAACCAGGGGTCAAGGTCTCTAAAACATACAGCAGAGCAATACACACATGCAGATAATAATAATAAATCACCACTGATAAAAAAATCGTTTTTAAAAAGAATACTGACTTCTGATACAAACTAAAAACAATATCAGTATAATTGCATGATCCAGAGATCAACTGTCAAGAAACCCCCAAGTGAAAAAGGCCATTTTTCATTCAGTGTCTAACACCGTCCAACAGTTGACATACCAACTGAAGCTGACTCCTTGCTACTGAGGTCATCTAATGACTACAACTGACCTTGAGGGTATCCTGAAACTATGTATAAGAGGGAGTGTAAAGGTAAAGGGGACCCCTGACCATTAGGACTCTGGGGTTGTGGTGCTCATCTCGCTTTACTGGCAGGGGAGCTGGCATACAGCTTCCGGGTCATGTGGCCAGCATGACTAAGCCACTTCTGGCAAACCAGAGCAGCGAACGGAAACGCCGTTTATCTTCCCGCCGGAGTGGTAACCTATTTATCTACTTACACTTTGAGGTGCTTTCGAACTGCTAGGTTGGCAGGAGCAGGGACCGAGCAACGGGAGCTCACCCCGTCGTGGGGATTCAAACTGTCGACCTTCTGATCGGCAAGTCCTAGGCTCTGTGGTTTAACCCACAGCGCCACCCGTGTCCCAGTCAAGAGGGAGTATAACCCCATCCCAAGCAGGAACTTTCCCAACTCTTGAACCCAGGAACCATTCACCATAAGGATTCAATTTCAGGTGATTGGCTCTCATCTAGCCCATCAGCCCAGGTAATGCATGGCCCTGTCATGATTCAGATGTTAAAGAGAATCCCTCAAATATCAGCTCCCCGCTCCTTTCAGGTGTCCCGTGCCCTGGATATGAGCTGCGCCAAACTTCTGTTGCCCTCTAGCTAGGCGGAGTCAGTCTTGGGGTGGAGGGAAGACCCCGCTCCCCTTTAATGGGCTACTTGCTAGAGCAGTGTTTTTCAACCACTGTTCCACGGCACACTAGTGTGCCGTGAGATGTTCCCTCGTGTGCCGTGGGCAAAATTGAAAAATCCGAAAGATTTTTTTTTTAAAAAAATGTCAAATTTTCGCCCACTAGGCGGGCGCCGGACTGTGTCCACCCTATTTTCCATCCGTCCTGGGTGGGGATCAGATCGGATGGGATCGGATGAGAGCAGACAGGCGGTCCGCTCTCATCCGATTCCCCATAGAGAGCAGCGGGGCTCTGACATCTCCCTCTCCGCACACAGTGCGGAGACGGAGCTGTCATCCGCCGGCTCAGCGGGGATCAGCGGATCGATCCCCGCTGAGCAGAGAACGGTCCGCAACGTTTTTGTTTGCCATTAAAGAAAAAATATTAAACCATGCTTGAATGTCGGAACTGGTTACTAAAATTTTTGAATCCCACCACTGATGTTAAGTGTTTGTGTTTATTTGATTCCTATTCAAGAGAATTACTTTATATATAGTCAATATAGGCACAGAGTTAAATTTTTTAACATTTTCTAATGGTGGTGTGCCTCGTGATTTTTTTCATGAAACAAGTGTACCTTTGCCCAAAAAAGGTTGAAAAACACTGTGCTAGAGAATCTTGCCCATCAGCCCAAGAGAAGGTAATTCCCAGAAATAAGTGCTGCCCAACCACTAGAGAAAGGCATTTGGCCAAGACACCAATGAGCCACTGTTGATAGTGGACGACGCTGGGCTAGATGAATCAAGTCACTGGGCACAGGCAGCAGAAGACCACTGGAAAGTGAAGCTTGCGTTCGGTTAAGGAACCCGAACCTCAGCCTACCTGAACGATGCCCAGAGTAGCAGAAGTAACAGGGTCAGAGAAGTCGCCGCCTGGAGGAGATACACTGAGCACAGATAGGAAAGAAGGAGAGAGAGAGAGATGTCAGTGTTTGTAAAAAATAAAAAAAAAGGTTCTGACCTCCCTTTGTCGCCTCAGCCTGCTCCTCGGACCCTAGTCGGCATAAAAGAGTCCATGAGAAGAGTATCCTTGCAGAGTACTTTCTGCTTTTATTTTTAAAAGACTTTCTGCAAAAAGTGACTGACCAACTGTACACACCTCAACACCAGCAGCTTTCACTAACTAACTAACTAACTAACCAACCAACCAACCCAACAACAAACTAACATTTCTCACTCTATATATACAACCTAGTGCAGGCCACTGACTCATGCTAACCCAGCTTTTTAAGCATTAAAGAAACAGCGGCCAATTTTTAGCCGTGACACGAAAGAGAGAGAGAGAGAGAGAGAGAGAGAGAGAAAGGCATGAACAGCAGCAATAGACATTTCATGGGGAACGGCGGTTGTGTGACTTGGCAACTCGGTGCTCAGATTTGCACCCACCACACAACTTCTTCTGAAACGCAACCTGAGACAAGGGGACGGGGAAAATACCAAACCCAGATTTCATCCTTGATGCAGTGTTGTAAATCATAGTCTAGCATGAACCAGATGTTGCAGAAATAAGCCCAGTCCTTGGTGCCATACCAAGGGTTAAGACTAATTCAGTGCAGTTACACACACACTCAAGCCACATTTACCATTTTACTCCTTTCTAGACCACAATGAAAATGTATCTATGTGGCGCGTAAGAACTCAAAGCATAACCATGAGATCAAAGCGAAATATTTGAAAGAAGCCGGAACACAGAACGGGTCACCTGACAAGAAGATTATCAAACACAATAAATGTAATTCAGTAAAAACAAGAGATCCACAGCAGTCTATGTCTTAGGATCAGATCCACCCCCAGTGACACTCTTCAGCTCTTCATAGAGCAATGCCCAGTAAAAGTCTGGAAGGATAAAAATGTTTGTGTGGTGTCAGAAAATAGCCAAAATCTTGTGAAGGAGGCTGTTCCATAGTTGGGGTGCCACCACAGAAAAGGCCCCGTCCCCACACAACGTGCTCCAGGAATAGGTAGGACAACAAGGGCCTCTTCAGCAGATCTTAATAGAGGGGGAGGTTGATACAAGGAGAGGCGCTCCTAATATTTTAATCAGGTTTAGGGAACCAGCGGCCCTCCAGCTGATCTGACAACAACTCCCATCATCCCTGACCACTGACCAGTGCTGGCTGGGAATGATGGGACTTGTAGTCCAACAACTTGTTGAGGGCCACAGGTTCCCCATCCGTGACTCACTCCTTTTTTGAAGCTGCAGTGAAAATCAAGTAGGCTCAGCGAAAGCAGCCATAACACAGACACATCAAAGCTGACTGGGTCAGACTACTGAGACTCTAATTTAAGACCTTTATCCAGTTTTGAAAAAGAAAGCACAAAGAGATAGAGTGGTTATCCCTATTCATTAGTTTCCCCTAGAAATGGCATGGTAATCCTACAGGTTCGAATTCTGACATGGGTGCTGCATAGTTGGTTCCACTAAAGCAGCTGGCTCTGGATTCCACCTTCCCTAGCATGGCAGAGAATCATCAAACTGAAGACTGAATGTCTCCCTCTGGCTTTGTCATCTTCCACTGACTAGTCCTGGGCTGGCCTTCCCTGCATTGCTTCCTATGACTAAACCCTTGTGCCACATCTGACCCTGACTTCTCTATTTCCAGCCTCTGACTCGCCTTCCTTATGTAGCTCCTTGGGGAACAGGGAATGCTCTGCTTTGCACAAGACAGACCTTGCAATTCCCAGCTGAAGAAACGAAGGACCAAGGGGCTTTGCCATACTTACGCTCCCACAATGCTGACGCTCCCTTCCCTCTCTGGGTTCCCCAGACACTTCACTCTGCCGGCCCGTTCGTAGAAAGAAGCCAAGCGGGCGCCAAGATAGGCTGGATAACCGCTATCTGCAGACGTCAACACAGAGAAATGCAAAGTTAGCTTCCCCAACCACATGAAGGTTCAGGGCCTTTCTTGGAGAAACCTCCCAAGGCGGACGTCAGGAGCGGAAGGCCTACCAGCAGGCATCTCAGCCAGGCGTCCCGAAATTTCTCGAAGGGCCTCCGCCCATCGGGATGTAGAGTCAGCCATCATACTGACATTGTAGCCCATATCGCGGAAATACTCAGACAAGGTGATCCCTACAAAAGAACAAGAATTGCAGGTCAGAGGGGGCCGCTAGGGGCGCCTTGGAAGATGGCCGACAATACCATCTCTCCGGCTCACATGAGGTAATTTAGGGGCTGATTATGGGAGTACATCAGCCTCCCGATTTCTTCCCAGGGGATGGGCACATGTCTTCTGGAATGGTGAGGGGAGGGCGAGGAACTGAGGTAGATACTGAGGTGGAGACAAGGTGCATGTAAAATAAATATCCATGTCAGTCCTCATCCCTTGAACTGCACAATGGGGATCTCTGATACTAATGAAGGGGCCTAGAGCGCCAGTATTTGGAACAGAGGCCACTGACACTGGGGTGGAGGGAGACAGGGTACCTGCCAAAACTCTGGTCTAGCTCCAAAACCTTCCCAACTGAGGCTCTGCCCAGACAGAGGGACTGCAGAAACCACAAAGGAGAACCAGTGGGAGGTAATTTACTACAGGCACCCATCTCTTCTACAGCAAATAGCAAGCCTTAAGCACAGAGTAAAATCCTTAATGATAAACTTAAGGACTGTCTGCACTGCCTTCGGCTGAAAAACCAGGAAAGAAGCATGAGCCCCAAATAGCCTTTTGTCTTCTCAACTCTTACCAGTGTAGATGGAAGCTTCCCTGGCAGCGACAGGCATGTTGGAGGTGTTTGCGACCAGAGCAGTTCTCTTCATAATGCTTTCGACCTTCCCATCAACCTCCATTGTCAGCTGCAGAGGCAAGAGAAACAGGACTGAAAATCCACTGGAAAATATGCAGGTAATAAGAGGCACATTGGACGAAATTTGGAGAAATAACCATTAATTGGTCCAAATCAGAGGTGATGATATTTAACTATGATGAAGATGAAAAATGATTTTTTTGAAGGAAATAAAAATAGATATAAAATTAAGAAATGTAATAAAGTACTTGGGAATAAAAATAACAAGAGATTTTGAAGAAGAGAATTTCAACAAATTAAAAAAGGAAATTAAGGAAAAGCTGGAGGAATATAAGAAAATTAAGCTTTCATGGTTTGGAAGAGTAGCGATAATTAAAATGAAAATTTTGTCTAGAATATTTTTTTTATTTAGAATGCTACCAATTAAGATATCGGAGACAGAGATAAAGGGTTGGCAAAGTATGATCAATAAATTGTGTAATGGAGATAAGAAACCTAGAATCAATAAAAGAAGATGGTAGAAACCTCAGAAACAGGACTGAATCTGCTGAACATAATGACCCTATCTGGGCATTCGCCTTATGTGTGAAACCTTCATGCACAGAGAGAAAGAGAGACAGACTGCACACAAAACCTCCACAGGTAGATGAAGCACCCTGCTCCAGACCTTCGCTATCCGTGAGTGGGGATGAGAACAGAAGGACGGAGGTTAACATACTCAGCCCCCACTCTCCCTGCTCACGTGTTATGTTTTACATGAGAGCAGAACATCTAAATAAGGCTAATGACATGAATTCTTCTAAATGTAGGTATGAAGGGTCATCAGTAGACATTAAAATTCAATTACAGCAAGAGTCTTAATTGGACTGCTTCAACATTTCACTTCCAAACTCACGGTTGCCCTATATTCTTATTCACATGTACTCCATGGTTTATGAAGAAAACTAAAATGGAATATTAAGATTGCCCCTTATAGCTTTGTTTACTCAATTTAAGTCAAGCTAAATCGACTTGGACATTAATCCCCTCCCCAAATCCACATACTTTGCTTAGATTAGAACTGCATTGAGGCACGAAGACCACTGTCTACGTTTTGGCTTGAACAGCATTTCCATACCCAATACTGACCTCTGGGAAGTCTCTGAGGACTTCAGACATTTCATTTCCTCGTTCCCCACAGCCTACATATATGATAACATCGCTGTTGGAATATTTGGATAGAGACTGAGAAATCACAGTCTTTCCGCAGCCAAAAGCCCCAGGAATAGCCGTCGTGCCTCCTTGAACACACCTAAATGAAGAATATAGACTGAATTAGTATTTTCAACTTGGAGGGAAAGACACAATGGACAAACAGATAGAAGGGAAGTGCAACATATATTTTTAAAACTGGCACAAGCCCCAAGATTTAAAGAGGACATGTTGAATCTGACCATTTAAGGTATCCAGCAGTATTTAAAATGTCAGAAGAGTAGCTGTACCCTGTGAGCACTCTTAATGAACTTTGAAAGCCACTTTGGAGCTCCTTCAGCTAAAGAGTGAAATAAAAATGTTTCAAAGAAATATGGGTCTGTTATAGCAAAAACAGCAAACAGGAACCTTTGCTCTTGCTTCTATGTAAACTGGCAGTTTGCATGGGCTGTATATGTTTGCTCGTTCTTGCCCAAACCCCTTTCTCTCTATATGCAATGATTTAAACGGAAAACACAACCGAAGACATGGTTCAGCATTAATAGAAAGATCTTCAGCTTTTTAATATTAAAATCTTTATCGTGCTTTTAGTGCTCTAAGCATTGCACATGCCGTTATTCCAGTTATGCTGTCAGCGACAGTTCTACTATACATAACTGGAGAACTTTTCTACTAAAAGCAGCAGCAAAAAACAGACTTTGCAATCATGGTTGCTACTTACGGAAAGAGGGCATCAAGGACTCTCTGACCCGTTAAGAGAGGGTGATTGGCGGGCAACTTTTCTGTGACAGGGCGGACTTGCCGTACAGGCCAGACCTGGACCATAGTGAATTTCTCCTTCACTCCCTCAAACTCCAGCTCCAACACAACATCCTGAAAGAGGGCGGTGAAACGAAGAACAAACAAGATGTGCTGGAAGCTCTGCTGGCAAAAAGTCAACTAGGACGACGGCATGCTGCTGACTTCATCAAAGTCACGTTGATATTAAAAAGTGGGGACCTGGTGTCATTTATAGTCAGGAAGCAAAGGGTCTGCTGGTGGTGGCAGGTCCTGTGTCAAGCCACCTCTGTATGCTGCCTCCATGACGGCAATTTTGGCATCCCTCAAGCAACCCTTATCTGCCAGGAATTTGTGGGAGTCAGTAGGACTCTCTGGTGGTGGAGAGACAGAGGGAATTTTACCAAGCCGGGTAACTTGTCTCTTCCCTGCCCAAGAGATTGCATATTCTGCACAAGTGCTGAGGCAGTGCTTGTAGAATATGGAGATCTACTGGAGGGGCCAGTTGTCTATACAGAGGGCTTAACAGAGTGCATGGCCTCATAACAGAGAACTGGAGTTTTTCTTGCACATTAAGTGTATCAGTGAAATTGAGTCTATTGTACCTTCACCGCCTCCTTCCCTAATTAAGCCCGTTTTTGACACACACACACACACACACACACACACACACGTGTCCTGGCTGCTGTGAAATCCAGCCCAGCCAAGGCAAGAACGCAGGTGCTGGAAAAGGGAGAATGAGAGCAGAGTTTTTCTCTAGCTCCACTGCTTCCCCCTACAGTGGTGCCTCGCAAGACGAAATTAATCCGTTCCGCGAGTCTCTTCGTCTTGCGGTTTTTTCGTCTTGCGAAGCACGGCTATTAGCGGCTTAGCGGTTATTAGCGGTTTAACAGCTTAGCGGCTATTAACGGCTTAGCAGCTTAGTGGCTATTAGCGGCTTAGCGGCTATTAACGGCTTAGCGGCTTTAAGAAAAAGGAAACAAACTCGCAAGAACTAGCAAGACGTTTCGTCTTTCGAAGCAAGCCCATAGGGAAATTCGTCTTGCGGAACGACTCAAAAAACGGAAAACCCTTTCGTCTAGCGAGTTAGTTTTTCGTCTTGCGAGGCATTCGTCTTGCGGGGCACCACTGTACTTAAAACACAGACCTGCAGAGACTCCATCGTCTGAGCAAGCGCAAAAATTTATGAAATGGGAAGTGTTTCCTCCAGCGTACTACCATGTCTGATACAGTTCACACAAAACCTGGCATCATGCAAGGACAAAACATTAGGCAGCGGAGAAAAACTTATTATTTGCAGAAAAACTTACAGACGTGTCGTAATTCCCAGGTGGAGCAATGTAGGTCACCGTCCCCCTGTTTCGCGGGGGCAGCATGATCTTGTGTTTGATAAGAGAGTTTTCAGTCACTAGGCCATAAATATCACCGCCTGTGATATGACTGCCAACCTGAAAGTCAAAGAAACTGCTAATATTAATATACAGAGGTATTATATGTCCACAGTACACAGTGCATTAAAAACATTATGGATACCCAACTGCAAAGCGGGTCAATTCAGGTTGGTCAACAGCGCTGCCAAAATACAATCAACAGCAAACATGTTCTCCGTAACTTACCCGCAGGTTTTTGACAGGTGAGAAGTCCCATTTGAGATCTCTGCTCAGAGCTGTCACATTGACTCCTCTGGGGATGTAAATGCTCTGGGTTTGAGTGCTGATGTCTGACAGAGGCCTCTGAATACCGTCAAAAATGGCTCCCATGATTCCGGGGCCAAGCTCCACCGAGAGGGGCTTGCCAGTACGGAGTACGGGGTCTCCTACAGAAACACCAGCTAAACAATTGGTTAAGGAAGACATCCTAAAGGTGGTGTCAAGCTAACTAGAAATGTATTAACTGGTTCACTAACCAATTACCCTTCATGGGGGGGGGGGGCCACACAAAACATATTGCAGCGGAACTTCAGGTTTCAGCCAACGGCTCCCATTCTGGGAGGGAGAAAAACATTTTGGTGAGGCAACAAGTACAGTCGTACCTTAGTTCTCGAACAGAATGCGTTCCGAGAGTCCGGAACTGTTCGAAAACCGAGGAGCGGCTTCCAATTGGCTGCAGGAGCTACGATGGATGTTCGGCTTCCAAAAAGCGTTCAAAAACCGGAACACTCACTTCCAGATTTCGATCGTTTGGGGGCTGATTCGTTCAGGAGCCAAGGCATTTGAGATCCAAGGTACGGCTGTATTTTCAGACATTCCAGAAAATAGCAAAAATGTTGTTTCAACTCCAGAGGTCTTTGACTTAACATAAACCAACCCGGAGAGTTTAGCAAGCCAATGTGGTTCTGAAGGTGGGCAGAATAATGGTTGGTGCTATTTTTGCCTCCTCTTGGGAAAAAGGAAATGAGTCGCAGGCCATACTACAATGAACCGTATAATTCTGATAAACCTACTGTGATACGAGTCTCTCTAACCTTCTACACATCATCCTTGTTTTGCTTACTTGTTTATACTTGTGATTTTTTATTTTTTTTACAATTTCCAATACAAAATACAATTGTAAACCAAGAAAACTTTAATAATAATAAAAAAGAGCTAAGGTTTTGTTTTTTTAAAAATACAAAATACAAAATGAATTGCTCAGTTCCCCAGGCAGATAGGATTATTCCCATTATGGATGGGGTTCCACTTGCCCTTCGGGATCAAACTAGCAATCTGGAAGTAATTCCAGACCAAGAATGGTGTCCTGGTGTCTAGGCAATAACTTTGGCCAAGAAGCTTTGGCTGGTACGCCAAGTGCACCCACTACTTGAAACCAAGGCTCTTGGCTCCCACTGAAGTCATCATCCCGTTTTCATTTTTACGCTGCTCAACATACCCTTGAATGGCAGAAATCACACACCAGCCAAAAGGATACAGGTTTCCTCATATACCTGAATAGTTGCCATGTCCCCCTCCAGCCGGATAATTTCTCCAACAAGCTCACAGTGGCCAACTCGTACCAGTTCATACATAGCGGCACCTGCCATGTTGCAGGCAGTGACAACTAGGGGAAACAAAAGAAGGAGATGAATGCAGATCCAACTGTGATTTCCCGTTGGTAGGTAAAGGTAAAGGGACCCCTGACCATTAGGTCCAGTCGTGACCGACTCTGGGGTTGCGGCGCTCATCTCGCTTTACTGGCCGAGGGAGCCGGCATACAGCTTCCGGGTCATGTGGCCAGCATGACTAAGCCGCTTCTGGTGAACCAGAGCAGCACACGGAAATGCCGTTTACCTTCCCGCCAGAGAGGTACCTATTTATCTACTTGCACTTTGACGTGCTTTCGAACTGCTATGTTGGCAGGAGCAGGGACCGAGCAACGGGAGCTCACCCCGTCGCGGGGATTCGAACCGCCGACCTTCTGATCGGCAAGTCCTAGGCTCTGTGGTTTAACCCACAGCGCCACCCACGTCCCTTCCCGTTGGTAGGAAGGGACAATTCAGTAGCTTTGCATTTTTAAATTTCTGCAAATACAGTGTTTTGTTTGCAACTGGAAGTGGAGCCCAAAATATTGCTGTAATGCATGAAAGACTCCTATTACTGAAGTGGTAAGGGAACCACGTGTTTGGGCTTCTCGGCTGCGAGTCCTGGAAGTCCTGCTCCCTGTCTTGCTAGCCTTTTCCATCTGGCCTGGGGGGGGGGCAACTTACTAAAGCTACAATATCTGGGGCTGCTGAGCAGACAAGTGGCCTGAGGTGTCATTTAGGGAGTTTTGTGGGGATAGCAGTTGTTGCTGCTATTGATATTAATCTTTGCATCTTTATTTTAGATCTTATGATTTATATGGAAATGTTCAATTTGGTTCTGTACTTTTTGATGCTTTGCTTTAGAACTAATTTTGCTATGTTTGTAATTTTGCAAGTCGTTTCCGTTTTGCAAGCCGCCTCGTGCCTGGCTTGAGCTGTGGAAATGAGGTATACAAACAGAATGATGATTGTATGTTCCTTCCTTAAAGAAAGGTGGATGCTAGGAAGCAGGGTTCTAGCCTAGCCTTCTCCCTGGCATGCTACTTTGTAGAGCAATTTTTGTGTTTGTGCAGAGGAGAATTCTGTCATGAGGTCACAGAATCATAAAGCTGGAAAAACCACAAAGTCCAGTCCAACCCCTGCAATGCAAGGAATCTTTCGCCCAGCCCAGGGCTCAAACCCATGACCTTGAGATTTGCAGTTAAGACATGCAGTAGGGTCAGCAAGAAAGGAGATGGCTGGTGGTTCCTAATGTCACAAAAGCCCTGATGTTTCTCAAAAGCAGGGGGTGGGATCAATCCATGCAGATTTGCTCTTCCTTGGGAAAGGGGGCGTTTAAGGGACTCTATCAGGTGAAAGGATGCAGGTTCCCAAATAACTCCTATCATCCTGTCCAGAGCTTTCAGACCATGCCCCTCCTGGACACGACTATGGAAGATACTTCTTTCTAAGCACCATTTCACTGCTGCTCGTTTAAAGTACACATGCCAAGGGCACTTACCAGGTCCTGAAACTCCAAAGACATAGCCAAAGGCATCCTCTCTGTCTTCATCACGTACTTTGGGAAGTTTTGAGAAATCCATCTTTACTGTCCAGCTAGCTGAGAAGAAGGGGGAGAGAAAAGTCTAGTTTGAATGTTTGGTTAAAGGTAAAGGTAAAGGGACCCCTGACCATTAGGCCCAATCGTGACTGACTCTGGGGTTGCAGCGCTCATCTCGCTTTACTGGCCGAGGGAGCCGGCGTACAGCTTCCGGGTCATGTGGCTAGCATGACTAAGCCACTTTCTGGTGAACCACAGCAGCGCACGGAAACGCCGTTTACCTTCCCGCTGGAGCGGTACCTATTTATCTACTTGCACTGGTGTGCTTTCGAACTGCTAGGTTGGCAGGAGCTGGGACCGAGCAATGGGAACTCACCCCATCGCGGGGATTCGAACCGCCAACCTTCTGATCGGCAAGTCCTAGGCTCTGTGGTTTAACCCACAGCGCCACCCGCGTCTCTTTGTTCGGTTAGCCTACATCAAATCACAGCAAGGCCACTCACCATTAGCGCACAGTGGAATCCCCCCACATTACATGCATTCTCTCACTTTTTGAGCCTGAATCTTGTGTTCCCCCCACAACTGTCAGTTAAGTAGCTGAGCAACTATGTAGGACTGTATACCAAGGTTCTTCTGCATCTTGAAGTGCATACGAAATCTTGCCATGAAATAATCAGAGTGCTAAAGAACTCTGTAAATATTCTTTTCAGTTCCCTATTTTAGCTGCTGATCTCTGTGGAATGCCCTTCTGGCTTGCACTCTTTACAAAGACTTGAGGAATGAGATTATCACCCCTCTCTTATTGTCCATTCCGGGTCGCCTAACCACTGCCACAGCGTCCTTTCTCCTGGCAGATCAAGAGGAGCAGATGACAGCAAAGATTGCAAGGTTTTTAGCTGGGGCAATCAGAATAAGGTCCACTATTTGACTGCTGATTCTGGAGCCTAAAGTGTGTTTCATGTAATCGACTGTTCTTTGTATATTGCACTGCTGTTTTGTTGCTATGGCCGATGGCTGACGCAAATAAAGATTCATTCAAGAAGGATATCTGTGAAAATCTGCGGGTACACAATATGCAATCACAACTGCTAGCTCAGCAGCCCTGGAATGTATTTGGTGTTGAGGAAGCTCTCAACACTATTCAGACATAGCTACAAAATAAGTGTGCTTATGGTTCAAACATTTGCAGCAGGCCTTCCTTTGTGCTGATCTGAAGCATCACCAAGATAGCCTTATACAACCCTGGCTACCTACAAGTGTTAGAAATTAGCCAGGCGCCAGGTGCGTTTTGCTACTGGCGTGGGTCCAGTTGCCACCACATGCGAGATCTCTGGATGCCCGGTTGTCAAATGACATCTCCATCTGGCTGGTCCCCTCAGCTTTCTTAAGCAGAAGAGCTTATTTATTGCATTTATATCCAAACTTTCACTCCTCCAAAGCATAATTCAGGCGTTACTCCGGAACAGAGGGTGCGGAGAAAAACTATGAATAATTAGCACACTGTGAGAAAACACTCTGCCCATAAACAAGAAGGGAGTATATTATGGTAACATATTTGGGTTTTGACCCTTTCAGCGGGTTCCTCTTTCCTGTAAACCTGTTTTTAACATTCCCACTATTTTATGAAGCTATCCACATACAAAGGTTACACACTGTTTTGGAGATCGGCAAATGGGAGTTGCAGAGTTGAATACTGCACACACATTTATACTACATCCTTTAAAGAATTCTGCTACATTAAACTTAAAACACATTTTCACCCATAACATGGCATGTTGATTGCCTGAGATCAATTTTAGCCAAACCAAATAACCATTTTACAGTGCAACGCCTAACAAGAGAGTTACCTTGTTCAGCTCACACTGGGGCGTCCAATATATTTTGACCTAAGGTTTTCTTTTAAAAAAAGACTGATTTTTTTGCAGCAAAATCTGAATCAGTTTGAAATTAAAATCACATGTGTGTCGCAACCAAGATTCTCGTCCGAAGCAATCACCCAGAAAGCAATGCATGGCAAAATACTAAAAGGTCCATACCTTAGGGGAAGCCACAAAAATAATAATCCACCAGTCTTATGAAGGAATCCAAACACAAGCTCTAAGAAATCAGGAAAAAGCAAATGATTTGCCTTCCTGGCTCCGAAGAGATAGGAAAAAAGGCATTTCAGGAAGACACAGCAAAGAAAAGATTGTCAGCTGACCAGATGAGTCATCCATCCCTCCCCAAAAGGACTGCTGCAATAGCAAGTCACGCTGCTCAAGGCCCAACTAAATTTAAAATGTGCTCTTTTTGAATTTCAACACACTCCGTCGTGCTGAGGCTGAAAGCAAAATCAACTCTCAGTCACAAGCTGTTTCTGTGCTTGGGAAAGACCCAAAGAAGAAGAGACACACTGTTTTTTGCTATCTCAAGAGCCCATTTATAAAATGATCGAGTCAGAAAATAAAATGCCTCTGTTTTATTGCATTCTTCACTTCTGCAGAACTAATGAGTCACTGTCCAGTCTAACTGCAGCAATTACCTTGTGGGGCAAGAATGGGGATCTGGTGACCCTATGAAATTGTAGTCCAGGTAAAGGACCCCTAGATAAAGGGGTCCAGTCTAAGTCCAGTCAAAGGCAACTATAGGGTTGTGGCGCTCATCTTGCTTTCGGGCCGAGGGAGCCGGCGTTTGTCCGCAGACAGCTTTCCAGGTCATGTGGCCAGAAGGACTAAACTGATTCTGGTGCAACAAAACACCGTGACGGAAGCCAGAGTGCATGGAAACGCTGTTTATCTTCCCGCTGGAGTGGTACCTATTTATCTACTCGAACAGGCGTGCTTTCGACCTGCTAGGTTGCAGGAGCTGGAACAGAGCAACGGGAGCTCACTCTGTTGCAGGGATTCCAACCGCTGAACTTGCGATCGGCAAGCCCAAGAGACTCAGTGGTTTAGATCACAATGCCACCCATGTCCCTTTAAGTCCAGGTACGGCAGAAACATTGCCCAAACTTTCGCTCAGAATATGTTTTTGAGCTGTAAAACACTAATTCCACACATTATTGCAATCATATATGAACAAATGTGGTGACACAACCAGGCACTGATCCAGACCTGTTTAGTTGCAGCAAGGTGGACTTCATGTGCTTTCAGCTTATACCGATGGGGACATCCAGATTTTATTACAAAACCTTACTGCTCATGAGGGGTTGCTATGTAACAAAAGAAGCTGCCCCCTCCCATTACTACAGTGGTACCTTGGTTCTCAAACTTAATCCAAAGAGTTCCAAAACCAAGGGGCGCTTTCCCATAGAAAGTAATGCAAAACGGGTTAATCCGTTCCAGACAATTAACAACAACCCCTCAAACAGCCATTTAACATGAATTTTACTATCTAATGAGACCACTGATCCATAAAATGAAAGCAATAAACGATGTACTGCAGTTACACAATCAATCAATCAATCAATCAATCAGTAGTTGAAGTGGATTCCACACAGTCACAAAAAAACAGAAATGCAAAATAAATAGCAAAAGGAGATAGCCCTCAGCGAAACACTCAAAACAGAAGTGTGGCACTCAAAATAGAGCACGTTCAGCTTCCGAAAAAAGTTCGCAAACCGGAACACTTATTCCAGTTTTGCAGTGTTTGGGTTCCAAGTTGTTTGAGTACCAAGGCGTTTGAGAACCAAGGTACCACTGTACTTTGCTAATAATCCTAATCCAAAAATATCAACGCTGCCTAAAGCTAAGGAACATCATGACAACTGAATGACCCAATCTGCAAGCCTGATTCTTCCAAGCCTTTAGGGGAGGATAGCTCTAATTCTCCACTGTACTGCAGCCAGTCCAGGCACTGCCAAAAAATAGTTAAATCCAAGACATCATATACACATTTTGAACCACATTCTTCCTTTAATGACTTCCAAGTACAAATTTGGTGGTGTGAACTAATGTGATACAATTGCCTATTGTGCATTTTGCCCTCTCCTTTATAATTAAAAAGCTAGTTCAAACTCCTACATAGAAAAAGTTGTGATTTTCAGTCAACAAGACTTCTCCTTCAGCATTCAGTATCTTAGACTACTTGAATAATTGGGGCTATATGCATTGACAGAGGACCAAACCGTTCTCGGCCATTTCTAAAAACTCCTGCAACACGACACTAGAGACAATTGTTTCAGAAGAGACCAAACCTAATCTTTCTAATTTGGTTCAAACTTCGCCCCAACCCAGACACACTAGTTAGATCAGAAAGAATGATTAACAGTGAGTGACTAACAGTGAAACATACATGAATTATTCTCTTAAGTCTATTGCTTGGCTTGAGTTGTTCCATTCTACCATACAACAAACTGCTTTGCAACGAAAGGAGAATCAATTTTCCCAAGGCAAATTAAGCATTAAGTTGATGGAAAATACTGACGTTACTTCCTCCACTTCTCAATTTTTTCTCTATTGAACTTTATTAAGACAACAGGAAATAGAACTCAAGCAGCTATTTGCATATACAGGAACAATCAATTACACCATAGGAAGCCAATGGTGTTTAAATGGGGGAGGGGGAATATATGAACATATTACATACTGCATATTATTGTGTAGTCTTTTTAAAATGAATTTTGGATCACCTGCATAAAGAGAAATTGTACCAAAAAAGGCAGAATATGTTTTCTAATTACGTAATGCTCTGTTCAGATATCAAGATAAACTACAGATTACATCTATGAATTTAAGAGCCCACATTTTCAATTTCCAAATGCACAATAAGCAAACCAGGGTTTAGAGAAGCTTCTCATCTTTAATTTTCTGTTCTCTCAGCTTAAGCTCATTCAGACACCACACCAAAATATAGTCAGTGCGAATGATGGATTGCAAGCCCACCTCCATTCATGCTTCTATTTTGGATTAACAGGTAAATTGCACACTATGGTTTGTGAATTCAGACTTCCTATCACAGCTAAACATTCTTAGCTATAGTTTCGCATGGCATCAGGGCTGGATTTAGGTTTGTTGAGGCCCTAATCTACTGAAGGTAATGGGGCTCTTTTTATGTCCAGCTGTGTTTTTTGGTCAACAACAAATTCTCGCTGTTTTTTGTGTTGAATATATGCTATATGGTAATTTATGGACCTAATAGGTATCTAAATCCATTTGCACATGCAGAATGTAGGCACCCTATATATAGAAATGAGCAAACCAGGGAGCAGGTGAGCAGGTAGCGCTCATTACTTACATCATAGGAGCCTGTTTTTTATTTTATATTTTGGAAATGTACAACCAGGTTTTTTTCCCTTTAATTTTTTGGGGGTCCCCAAGAGAGTAGGGCCCTAAGCTACAGCTTGTTTAGCTTATATGTAAATCCGGCACTGCATGGTATCAAACTGAACCTGAACAAAAGCCAGTAGATAGAAAAAAAGGGAGAAATTCTAAAGTTCCAACTGTCTCTCCCTCCCACCAAACCCCAAATAAGATGCTGGACTTTGATCTGATCCAACAAGACACTTCAAATCATCTTATGCCATATTATTAAAATTAAAGATGCAAAATAAACAGCATATAAAAATACCCAGCTAGTGTATTAATGGAAGGTGGGATTTTAAAAGAAGTACTACCCCTGCTTTACTGGCCTATTATTTTTATATGTTTATATGTGTAGAGAGTGGCGTGAAAAGGATCCAGTTTTGTGTCATGTAGTTTAAAGAAGCTGCTCAAGATTTATGCAAATAGAGATTGCAAGGAGAATTAAAAGCAATGCTCTCCAGTGGAACCAGCACTTCTAAGAAAGAGGTTTCTGAAGAAGGGTTCCATATTACATAATTGGAAACCACTTAAAACCACAATCTAACAAGAAGACCGAGAGAGGCTTACTGGCAAATTTACACAACACTTTTAGTGTTTTCTAGAATAGAAACACCATTTAAGGATACATAGGGTGAAATTCTGACAATACTAACTACCTCTCTCTTTGGCAGACAATATTTATAAGAGGACCTGAATATTCTCCAGAGGCATCAAAGGTATTTAGTAAGATTTAGAAAAACCCATGTCCTTTTAGGTACTTGCAAATGAACGTAAGAACTGTGATGTTCATTTAGCTGTTAAGTCCCATTCTTCTCAAAGGGGTTTATTGCTAGGCAAGTGTATAGGAATCGAAAGTCATTTCTTAAATATCTAGTGAAGCTGTCCAAAACAAAGCATTATTGACAAAATATTATATATACAATACGATGAATGATTAAAAGTATCCCATGTCTCAATTAACTGTTCTACTTAGCCATGATTATCTGTCATGGAATGGGGGGGGGGTCTCACCTGCTCCCATATTAAAGAATGGCTGGCAAAATTATGGAGACTAGTTCAAGCATCTCAGCCAACTGAATACATTTTTCTGAGAGAAGTTAGATTACAGCTAAAATATGTTTTGAGGTAGAAAAGCCCATCATTATAAAGGTGAGATATAATTAGGATATTAGCACATCATGAACTTTTCCAGGTTGTTTTTTATTGAGCAATTTCATATTGTTTACAGAATTAATATGGTAATTATCAACAACATCAGAATAAAAGAAGGAAGAAGCAAACCCTTACAGCGGGTGAACTGGAAGAGGAACTTACAAAGAAATATGACTCAAGCAAGCAAGCCAAGCCCCAAGCTGCAAAGGGAGGCATAGCCATAAAAAAAACACAGATCTCTAAATTAATCTAATTGGAAATGTGAACTCCTTCTTAACCACCAGACCTTGAGCAAAAGCAACTCAACCACCAGTCATGCCAAGGAAAATATTACTATGAGCAACTGTCATATTATCCAGCATTTGACTGCGGCTATTCCCAATACCTTGCCAAAACCTTGCCAACAAAGGTCCGTATAGTTAAAGCCATGGTTTTCCCAGTAGTGATGTATGGAAGTGAGAGCTGAACCATAAAGAAGGCTGATCGCCGAAGAATGGATGCTTTTGAATTCTGGTGCTGGAGGAGACTTGAGAGTCCCATGGACTGCAAGAAGATCCAACCTCTCCATTCTGAAGGAAATCAGCCCTGAGTGCTCACTGGAAGGACAGATCCTGAAGCTGAGGCTCCAAGACTTTGGCCACCTCGTGAGAAGAGAAGACTCCCTGGAAAAGACCCTGATGTTGGGAAAGATGGAGGGCACAAGGAGAAGGGGACGACAGAGGACGAGATGGTGGGACAGTGTTCTCGAAGCTACTAATATGAGGGAGGCAGTGGAAGACAGGAGGGCCTGGTGTACTCTGGTCCAGGGGGTCACGAAGAGTCGGACATGACTAAATGACTAAACAACAACCCCTACGGGTGGCACTGAGGACCCTTTGCCTCTGAGCCCTTTGCTCTCCTACTTTCAAGGCTCGCTGGGTTCTGGGAGAAGGGGGTCTGGAATGCCTTCTAAAGACACTATGTCCGTCAGCTGTCACCCCCCTTGTGCTTCCTCTTCCTGCTCCTCCTCTCCCATTATTTTTCCAACAACGACAATAATATTTGCCAAGTCAAGTATTATCCCTCTCAGTGAAGTCAGTGATTGGATAGGAAACTGACCCCCCCTCTTGCCCAGTTTGGAATGGCAGGGCTTTCATTGCAGACCTTGCAGTGGTGCAGCACATCTCAGGCAGTGTTCCTTTCAAAACACTCCAAGACTTAAGTGAATAGGTTTTTTTTAAAAAAAAAACACAACCTGCAAATAATGACTTTCTCTCTCTCACACACACACACAAACACACTCGCATAGAATAGAAATCTGAAATTGCACTTAAAATCTGAAAAGCATCAAAGAAAGCAGTATAAAGTTCTTTATAAGTTCTTTCTTAAGACACAGCTGTAGCTAGCCTTGAGATTCTTTGACTATATTTCTCATTTCATATCTCCCAATATAACCAGTTTTCTAAGTGCTTAATATGAGCAAGCCTGTTAAGGTTTTCAACCTCTACTATTCTGTCATTGCATTTGGATTCAGGCCCTGAGAGCTCAACACAGCTACTTTTCAGTTGTCTCATGCAATAATAATAAATAGTAATAATATTTGCCTGGTCAAGTATTATCCTCTCAGTGAAGTCAGTGATTGGATAGGAAATTGACCCCCCCCCCCTCTTGCCCAGTTTGGAATGGCAGGGCTTTCATTGCAGACCTTGCAGTGGTGCAGCACATCTCAGGCAGTGTATGAGCCCCACGTGAGAGCAGAAGTCAGATGCTGAGACACACAGTATGGACTCTCTCTGGCCCTCTGCCCTCGCACCGAGGAAATAGCCAGGACACGACTAGACCAGTGTTTCCCAACCTTGGGCCTCCAGCTGTTTTGGGACTACAACTCCCATCATCCCTAGCTAGCAAGACCAGTGGTCAGGGATGATGGGAATTGTAGTTCAAAAACAGCTGGAGGCCCAAGGTTGGGGAAAAACTGGACTAGACGACTCAACCACAACAGAGGTGAGGAGGGAGATGCTGAGCCTTTGCTCCTATATGGGGGGGGGGTTGTGAGGCGATATTCCGCCCTCTCTGAGGGGCCCCCGGAGAGAAAGGCGCCCTTCAGCGCAAGGGCGAGGGGGGAGCAGGGCTGACGGGGCGGGAAGGAACCGTGACAGCTCCTGGGAAGCCGGTCTAAAGGGAGGGAGCCAGAGGGAGAGAAGGGCGGCGAGGCGACGGCGGCGGCGGCTCACCTCGGGCGAATGACTGGAGCAGCTCCGCGCGCAGTGACTCAGGAAGCGGCCGAGCACCGACTGCCGACGCGCCCTTTCCCCGGCGGACGAATCCTGCAGGCGCCTCCGGAAGTGACGCGGGAGCACTTCCCGTCGAGCCTCTCGGGCTCCGGAGGACCTTCTCGCGGCGCCTGCGCGCTTGGGGCGGTAAAATGCCGTAAAGTAAAGCAGGGGCGGGGCGCCGGGTGGAACCCAGAGCTGAGGTTGCGACACAACCTGGGAGGGCCTTGACGGCTTTGCCTCACAGACGCGGGTTTAGCGCCACAGAGGTACGAAAATTAGAGGTGCGCATCGTCCGGCCAGAGAACGAGCTTCCGGGTTCGCATCGCCCGCCATTGACAAAACTTCCCCGCAGAGCGAAAGCTGCCCGTCGGGGGGAAATCCAGATTTCATCGCAGCTGTTTGAACGCTAAAGCGCAACGCCCAAATAAAAGAAGCAGAGACCGCGGCTTGGTATCTTTTTTTAAATTTTTTTTATTTTTTTATTTTTTAAAAAAAGCTCATTTCGTGTGAACATTTTTTAAAAATTAGGTTTTTAAACATTGGGAAATGGCCCTCCCAAAATAAATTCAAAACCAAAGCAAACACTTTCATGTGCTTTTACACAAGCGCGCGCACATATGCACATTGCTGTTTTTCCTGGGGACACACATTGGGTACGCACACCCCTAAACATTTTGTGAATCTTTCTACTTTTGTCCATTTAATGTATTTATCTTTCACGATTTGAACTATAAAATAATGGTTTTTTTTAGTCAAAATGAGAGTACCCCTAAACATTTTTTTTTAGAAAAAAAGCACTGCATATGCAAACACAAGTATAATTAAATATGCATTAAATGCAAAGTGTAATTTAACAGGGAGGGGGGGAAACATTAGCTGATGTTGACGCTGCTGTTTGTCTGTGCTGGGGCAGTTTAGTAACTGTGAGTTTTCACTTGTCATATGTAAAATGATCAGCACAGAGTTCTCCCCCAATTTTACGTTAATGTAACTTTTCTGCCTTGAAGGAGGAGCAAAGAAAGTCTCTAAAGAGTGTATTTCAGCTTCTCCCTAGATTCACTCCTGGATTTTAAAGCTCTTCGGAAGGCATTGCGTTCAGCGGCCATACTGGGGAAAGTCTTCTGGTAGTTGTTGTTGTTGTTTAGTCGTTTAGTCGTGTCCGACTCTTCGTGACCCCCTGGACCAGAGCACGCCAGGCACTCCTGTCTTCCACTGCCTCCCGCAGTTTGGTCAAATTCATGCTGGTAGCTTCGAGAACACTGTCCCACCATCTCGTCCTCCGTCGTCCCCTTCTCCTTGTGCCCTCCATCTTTCCCAACATCAGGGTCTTTTCCAGGGAGTCTTCTCTTCTCATGAGGTGGCCAAAGTATTGGCCACCTCATGAGAAGTTCTGGTATATACTACTTCTGGTAGTAATATACTGTAAAAACAAAAGTTGTTTTTCAAAAACATAAATGCAACAAATGATCCCATGTTGCAAATAGGGGAGGGGCTGCGACAGCCCTGCGGTGTAATCCACTGTTAATAGTGCAGGCTGGAGTCAAACTGAGGATGAGAGTGTTTCATAACAGCTCTGTAATATACCAGTGAAATCTTTTTTGCAGATTGGGGATTAGGCACAGGCAGAAAATGGCAGGCGACGTCATGTAAAATCCTGAATTTTCATACTGATAGCTTTCATTTCTGCTTGAGAAAAAGCAGAAAGAACCCGGAAGTCGATCTCTGAGTGACTTCTAAACGGGGGGCGGGACAAAAGAACCCGGAAGTCGGTCTCTGAGTGACTTCTAAACGGGGGGGGCGGGACGAAAGAACCCGGAAGTCGATCTCTGAGTGACTTCTAAACGGGGGGCGGGACAAAAGAACCCGGAAGTCGATCTCTGAGTGAGTTCTAAACGGGGGGGCGGGACGAAAGAACCCGGAAATCGGTCGGTCTCTGAGTGACTTCTAAACTGGGGGCGGGACAAAAGAACCCGGAAGTCGGTCTCTGAGTGACTTCTAAACGGGGGGCGGGACAAAAGAGCCCGGAAGTCGATCTCTGAGTGACTTCTAAACAGGGGGCGGGGCGAAGAGACTCTCGCCGGAGCGCGTGCGAAGCGTTGCGCCGGGAAAGCGTGCTGCCGTCGTCGTCGTCACGTCGGCGTGGGGTGAAAGGTCGAGCTGAGGCGGGGGCGGCGTTGTGCGCAGGCGCGCGCGGGAGCTCGGAGCGGCCTGAGGCCCATGTGGAGCAGCGGCGGCGGCCAGAGCAGGAGCAGCAGCTGAACCGCCGCTGCTGGACCCCGCGGCCCCCGGCAGCAGCAGCTATGAAGGGGTGAGTGCGGGACCGGCGGCGGCGGCGGCCGCCACCCCTTTCCCTCCCCTTTCCTCCCCTTTCCTCCCGGCCCAGCCGCCCAGCCCGGTCTCCTCAGGCGCCCTCCAGCTTGGCTTTCCCCCTCAGGTTTTTGGCGGCGGCGGCGGGTCTTTGTTTCCCGCGCTTCTTTCCGGGGGGGGGAGTAGAGGCGAAGCGGCCCCTCCGGATTCCTCTCCCGTTTCCTCCGGAGAGGATGCGGTTCTGTTCCGAGGGAGGAAGGGAGGGAGCGGCTCGGACTTGGCGGGTTCTGGGTTCAAGGTGCGCCATAAGGTGGCGGCGAGAGGGAGCCGGGCCTGATTTCCGCCAATGGGCCAGCAGGTTGGTGTTTCTCCCCTTCCCCACCCCCCAACTTTATCTTCATTTTTAAAAATATTTTTTTATTGGTTTTACACAGGTTTTTTACATTTTAACTTTAACCATTTCAGACATTAAAACCAAATGTTCTTTCCATAGTTAGTTCCACATTCCAAGTGTCATTACATCCCCGCCAATGCTTTTAACTGTTTACAGTGGTCTTTTAAATAAATTAAGAATTTATCCCAGTCCTTTAAAAATACTTGATCTTCCTGGTTTCTGATATTCCCCGTCAGTTTTCCCATCTCTGCATAGGCCATCAGTTTCGCCTGCCATTCTTCTTTTGTTGGCACCCAGCCCAACTTTTTTCAAAAAAATATTTTTTGCTGGTTTTACACAATTTTTTTACATTTTAACTTTAACCATTTCAAATGTTAAAATAAAAGGTTCTTTTGAACCTTTGGACCTCCTTCCCTCCCTCCATGGGTTCCGTATTTAAGATTACTTTTTTTTCCCCATCTTTTACCATTATCCATCTGTTATAGTTACCTTTAAAACTACTTGATCTTCTGATTCCACCCCCACCCCCCCGTTCAGTTTCACTCTGCATAGTCCATCAGTTTCGTCTCCCACCCAAATTTTAACTGTGCGAAGGAGGAGGTCGCAGGGTTGAAATAAATTCAGGACGTTTTTTTCTTTCTTTTTAAGCAACAGCAACCCTTAACAGACATAAATATTTTGTCTGTGTAGAAAATCAACATTATGTGTTGTGCCAGCTTTTAAAAGAGGTAGATTCTCCTCAGCATCTAGTCAGCCTAAAAGGGGGGGACATGGAAGATGTATGTATGTAACAAAACAAACAACTCCCCCCAAAAGTTGCAGGTTAGGGGTAAAAGTGAGTCCTCTAAAAAGACTGGATAAACCTTTTTCCCCTTTTAGGAAACATTTTAATTGACTTTACAGATATAGTTTTTTTACAGTATCACAAATATACTCAAAATACAAGAGTCCCCTGAATCTCAGACTCCCCCCCCCCCGCATTCCTTCCATGGGTCTTTATGTTGTCCTTTTCAACTGCATGTATTTCATCACCTATATTTTAAATCTATCTCCATTACCCAAAGTTTTTGTAACATTACAAGTGTTGTTAAAAACCTGCTAATGTTTTCATTTGTTTACAGTGGTCTCTCAGACAAAGTGTTAATTTCTCCCATTCTATTTTGAAGCTTTCATCTACTTGGTTTCTGATTTCTTCCGCTCATTTTTGCTATTTCTGCATGTTCCAGTTTAGTTTGCCATTCTTCTCTGGTAGGGACTTTGTCTTCTTTCCATCTATGGTTAAACTTAAAACAACTGGAGAACTGTTCCGGGCATCCTGGCGCTACTGAAGTAATATCTTGGATTTGAAATGACTATTTTATTTGATGTGTAATAGAGAAAAATAGCTACTCTTGCTTACAGAAGAAGAGATTCCTACTGTGTGCAAGCCAAAGGGTGGGCTGCTTTTGGTGGAACATTTGAAATACTGAGTTTTAATATGCTTCTGATGGCAACCCGTATAATGTATGGGCTTATGTGTTTGGATGTTCATTTAAACTACCACAGCTCTTTCAGAACTGAGTGCATGCTAGTATGATTGTGAGATGTGACCCTAACGTAACTCAAATAGTGGTGTCACTGTGTTGGTACAAATCCTCTAGCTTTGGATCCCAGTTGACTACTGACCTTTTACACATGTAATAGACATTGTAACTGGGCTTATTAATACCAGGCTTGAGCTGTATCTTTGTTTTGGAAGAGACTGTAAGAACAGTTTTTGATAGAACATCTCAGTATCGCCTAGAATCCCAGAGGCCACAAAGAGTGAGTCGTGGTCCCCAAAGAGCCATGTCAGTAGGCTAGAAAAGGGCTTCTATTTGCTCTTCCTCCAGTAACACAGAGGTATAAGACAAGTAGAGTAAATCCTCAAAACCCACTACCACAATAGGCATAATGCTAACATAGGGCTTGCTGTGTCCCAAAAGGACATCCCCTTTGGATAGGCTCTCTTCAAAAGTGGTCATTTCCCCCTACCTAGAAGTCTCTCTTCTGTGGCAAACAAGCAAGTCATGGTGTGGATCAGGGGTAAGCAACCTAAGGCCCATGGGCCACAAGCGGCCCACAGGGATCATTTAACCGGCCCACGAGCAGCCCCCAAACCGAGCCATCCGCTCGGCGAGTCCCCATACGCTGCACTAAACCGGTGCAGCGTGGTGCGGGGACTCGCTTGCGTGGTGCCGGAAATTGTGTCTGCACAGATGCAGATGCCAGAAATTGTGGCCACGCGCACTCAAGTGTGCGCGATTCGGCCCGTGGAAGGATCTCCACTGGAGTGAACCGGCCCAGGTGAGGAAACCTTGCCGACCCCTGGTGTGGATGGTACGCTGACTAGACCAGATCTATCAGTAGCTTGAAAAACTGCAAGACTCCTTACTTAGAGCCTTAAAATCAGCTGGGGGAGCTGTATTTAATGGCCAGAACTTGATTGAAAAATAGATGAAATGTTGAAGAAGGGTTGAATACACATTGAAACATGAAGGTGCTTTTGCTTTCACCATGGTTGCTAAATAGCCAAAAAGATCACTAACATTATAGGTTTGGAGAGAGTTCTTGAAAAGCAGTAGTTTTTTTTTAAATGTTCTCCATGGAAGCTTGATTTCAAAATGAACTGAGGAAGGTTTGGCTATAAATAAAAAAATGTGCTTGGAAATAATTTTAAAAACTGTGTTAAAAACCTACAAACCTACAACAGGGTAACTGTTTATTTACTTTATCATTTGCTTTTTCATCAGAGCATTCAAGGGAGTTTACAAACTATAGTTAAAACCAATTTTAAAACCTTAATATTTCCCCTTGCCAAGTTAAGTCCCGCACAGGATTTGTTCAGAGAATACAGAATATCTAACCATCACTCGTTACAAAGAATCTAATGATTGTTTAATATATGATGTTTCCTTTGTGGAAGACAAGACCAAACATATATGTATCATGTGTAAATACATTACATTTACAGAAATTACATGAGTTAATTTACCATTTACATGAAATGCCCTGTGTTGGGTTGACATCCTCTTCCCCCGTTTCCCCCAGTAAGCCCACAGGCTTTGCCAAGTCTCCAGCATTTTCAGATTACAGCTGAAATCCATCAAAAGGGTGGTTATTCGCAGCCTATGTATGTTGTATAATTGGATTCTGACCCACGTCTGCTGGAATTGCAAGATAATTCATTTACTGAATTCCTGCCACCTGCAACTCTGGTTGATGCAGTGGAGGTCAGTGCATCTGCCCCGTAGGGTGACATCATGGAGGCATTTTGCCATTTGCTGCGGATTAGCACAGATGGTGAACATGGTGTTAGAAGCCTGCTGCACTATGGATTCAGGGGACTTGGTCTTGCCATGTGTACTAAAAGAGTGACTTGGAGATAAGTTCAGTTTCAGTTGATGCCAGTTTGCTTCTGAGAGCATAAAAGATCCTAACTGAACTACAGTCATACCTTGGTTTTCGAACAGCTTAGTTCTCGGAACATTTTGACTCCCGAACGCCGCAAACCTGGAAATGACTGTTCCGGCTTGTGAACTATTTTGAGAAGCCAGTGGGGTTTCTGCGGCTTCCGATTGGCTGCAGAAGCTTTCTGCAACCAATCAGAAGCCACGCTTTGGTTTCCCAACATTTTGGAAGTTGAACGGATTTCCGGAACAGATTCCATTTGACTTCCAAGGTATGACTGCATATTGATGTTACACAGATGTTAGCAGCTACTATTGTAGCACCATAGGTTTGCTTTAGAGTTGGTCTTTCCTTAGGCTCTGAAGAGCAATAGCAAACTTCCTTGACGATGCATTGTGCTAGTAGTCAGTGAGTGTCAAGAAGGTCTGTTATTGTGCATTATTTTTCTAATCCCAGGCTCTCTTTGGTGGTCCTGCAGTTTTGCTCTATAATTCTTGAAAGGTTTTGGCGTTCTTTTCTGTCCTGATCTATCCTTATTACACTCAGATATTGTCTTTTGACTTGGCCTTGATGTAAATTTTTGGCAGGATCTTAGTGGGTTGTAGACTGATCTGAGTCAGAACAGCAGTACCAGTTTACTACAGATATATGGTGAAATATTAAGAAATTGGCCCGCAAAAGCATGTTTAAGTTAAATGCAAGGCTGGATCTGAAAGGCTGAAGACTGCTGGTTTAAAAGAAGGCAATGCTAAATCAGATACTTTATGCATGCAGAGGGTCTCATGTTCAATCCCTGATATATTCAGGTAGGGCTGGGGAAGGCTTTTGTCTGAACCCCTAAAGAGCCACTTCCAGTCAGAGTAGACATTTGCACTTGATGGACTAACAGTATGATTCAGTATAAAGAAGCTTCCTCTACTTTATCAATAAATGTGCACACTATTCAGTGTTTTAAGTGTAAAAGGCATTGATAAAATGCAGAAGACCCTTTATACAACTGTAGAGTATACTATAAATTTCTTATACATTTAACTCCAAAATCCATGGTTGTGTAATACATTTTTTAAGAGCAATGAAGTGTCACAAGATAGTGCGCAAAAGTTTGATTTCTCCAGAACTCTTCTGCAGGGATTGGGAGTATGTGAGTACGGGGGAGTGGGATTAGACATTGAAGCCTT